ATCACATTCTTACTGAAAACATCTCTACAAATAAATTAAAGGACCAAACATCTTCATTCTTGAAAACATTGTAGAAAAGAAAACAGCAAACAAGATCAAACTCTTCCCAAGAACACAAAAATAAGAAACATTTGCAAACTTGTTTCATGGATCCAGCATGAACTTGACAAAAAACCTGACAAAAAACATGCACAAAAGAGAAAAGAAATTATAAGCCAACATCTCTCATGAATATGCATGCAAGAAAATCTAAACAACAGATGAGAAAATTAAATCCAGAAATATAAAAAATGTTACATTTTGATCACACTGAATTGATTTCAAGAATGAAATGTTGGTTTAATATTTGAAATAATAACTAATTAATTGACAGGGCAGAAGATTAAAACCATATGACTATCCCTACTGATACTGAAAAGTCTTCATATTCATCACCAATGATAAGCCTATGACAAAATAGAAATAGAAATTCTCTTAATCATCTGATAAGATAAAGCTACCAAGAAACCTCTATATCTTATTTAACTGTTAAATATTAAAGATCTATATCCCTTGAAGTATGCTAAGATATTTGTATACCCAGTGCTATCACATCTATTCAATATATTTATATCATTATATAGACAACAAAGCAGGAAAAACAAATTAAATGTGTAAGAACTGACAAGAAATGTAACTTTCATTGTTCATGTAAAACTTAATTGTGTATGTTTAACATGCAAAGGGATTCTACAGATAAAAAGCCAGATGTAATATACTGAGCACAGCACTGTTGGATATAAGATGATATATAAAATTTAATGATTGTTTCTATTCATTAGTAACAAACAAGAAATTGAATATTAAAAAACATTTCATTTAGCCTCCAAATACCAAATGATTCAGACAAAATTTAACAAAAGTCATTTATACTTCTACACAAAACATTATAAAATATGATATTATTTTAAAGATCTAAATATACACCAGATTTATATGTTTGAAGATTTATTAGTATTTTAAGCCAAAAATGTTTCAATTCTCATCATGAATTTTGCACAAGTATAGACAGATAGACAAATGGAACATAAGAGAATACCCATAAATAGACTCAAGCATAAAATGTCATTTTTTATAATGGTATAAAGAAAATGGTATTTTATTGATAATAAAATACTGTGGTAGTGCAATGTAAAAGGAGCAGCCTTTTGGATAAGTTCCCCAACATTAATTGTATATACTATGAAAAAGTTACTTTAACACCTTTTATATACCACACCAAAATTTATTCCAGATGTACCTAGATCTAAAATTAAAAAGAAAAGTTACAAAACTTTTAAAAGAAAGTGTGGGAAAGCCTTTATGATTTTTAACTTGGCAAAAATTTAACAAGAACAGGAACACATACACAATCACTCACCAAGAAGTAAAAGATTGATAAACTAGATTTAATCAAAATTAATATTAAGAAAGCTAGAATGCAAATAATAAATGGAGGGAAATATTTGTAATCATCCATCTAAAAAAGAAATTGTATCCAAAATATATAAGTGAATATTATACATTAACAAGACAAATATGATACAGGGCAAACACATGTCAAAAGACTTAAAGTGATATTTCACAAATAAGATTATCCAAGTGGCCAAAAACCATAACAAATGAGTTTATCTTATAATTAGTTATCATCAAAGAAATGCAAATTAAAACAATACTAGGCTACCCCTACATGACTACCTTGATGACTAAAATCTTAAAAATTCTGACAATGTCAGACACTGGTAAAGAAATAAAGTGATAGGATAGGTCACACAATGTTGATGATAACTGCATGGTAATATCAAATAAACTGAGTAAACACACAATCCATCTGAAAAGTGGCTAATGCCTAAGATCTGTAAAGAATTCACACAAGCCAACAACAAGAAAATAAATAACCCAATCAAAAAATGGGCAGAAGTGCTAGATAAACACTTCTCCATAGAAGATATACAGATGGCATAAAGGGGCATGATAAATGTTCATCATCACTAGTCATCAGGAATGCAAACCCAAACCACAAAGAAATACCACCTCACTTTTGTGAGAATAACCTGTGTCAAGAAGCAGAAATAAGTATTGCCGAGAGTGTGGGGGGAAAGGAAACTTAGTACACTTTTGCTAGGGTGCAGTCTAGCTTAGCCCCTATAGAAAACACCATGGCATTCTCTCAAAACATTCAAAATAGATCTACTATATGATCTAGCAATTCCTCTCCTAAGTATTTATCCAAAGAATGAAAAAACAGTATTTTGAAAGGATACTTACATTCCTATGGGCACTGCCCCACTATTAACAATACCTAAGCTATGGGAACAGCCCCAGTACTCAATGGCAAATTATGGGAGAGAGAAGATGTGGTCCATGTATACAATGGAATATATGAAGATATGAAATTCTTTTACTGGAACAATAAGGAGATTATGTTAAGTAGAATAAGTCAGAAAAGAAAGCCAAATACTGAATGATTTCACTCTTTTTTGGAATATGAAAACGCAAAGGAACAGACAAAAACAAACTCTTGAAACCTGACAACAGAACTAAAAGTACCAGAATGTGAAGATGAAGAGTAGGGCCAAAGGAAGGAGGGGGCTCATTGTCATATGGAGGAATATTATAGGTGCTTTGGTCTTGGTCGTGGTCACAGTGTAAGAACATACATTTGCAGAGGAACTGATATCCCTGAAACTTAGTGTTGGAAATCAATTTACCTAAATAGCCATAATTGTTGAAAAGATTTAGACTCACTTGGATATTTTTATTGGCAGAATACAGGCTTTGGTTTCTGCAGTTTCACTTCCAGAGTTTGGGGGTAACAGGGTGCATGTTAGTGACCATTGTTTTGAGGGGACCTGAATGGGCAATCTTGGGAAATACTTCTATAAAACATAGAGGACCTTCTGGTGGAATGGACTGTGCCAAAAAGAGCCAATGAAGCTTGATAGGCAGCTTAAAGTTATTTTGTGGGACATCATGAGGTCTAGGCTAAAGATTAGGTATCATATTTATGGCCAAGAATGTAGACATAGTAAAAGGCAATTTAAGGACAACTGATCTGATATTGAACAGAAGAGCAGAATCACTCATAGCTACTCCTAAGTAAGGCTATGGAGTGAGTGCCTGTACATGATTTCTATGTTCCTGTCTTTTTCCATCCGTCAAGTATCCAGAGAAAGTGAGGTAACCTGCCTAAGTGATGATATCCAGAACTCAGTTTTACGTGTAATGGAACCAAACTTCTATGCCCAGATCTTCTGGGATCTCAGGCAAGGCAGTGCCTGAAAAACCCTGCTAGGTGACATCTGCACAACATACTAGATTTGTGTGCATGGCTGGGGTCAGGCAGCAGAATAGGTGCTTCCCAGTGCTTTCCTAGAAATAGGGTACATCACAGGTGACTTTCTTCACAAACATTATGATTTAGGGTAGGAGGAGTCTAGTTATGGAGCATGGACAGGGAAAAGGGAAGGCAAAGAAAAGGAAACTTCCCTAGTGGTGCAAGGGGTTAAGCACAGCACTATGAAGCTATCCGCAGCCTCTGCAGCACAAATTTGATCCTCAGTCAAGGAGGTGACCCACATGGCACAGCAGACCTCTCCTGACTTGCCCACCTCTCCCCTCAGCAGTGTATTTCAGTAGATCTGCCTGTTCTGCTCCCCACTCTGTCTCTGGTGAATCCTCTCACCCCCCACCCTGCACCTCTGGCCTGCACCCCAGTTCTTGTATGCATCAATAAATAAATCTTTTTTTAAAAAAGGCTTCTTTATTACTTCACCTGATTTCAAGCCTGTGGCTTGTCTCCTGAAAATGATTTCAGGAATTGTCCTTTACATCATCTTCCTCATAATGCTGGTTTAAAAGATTCCTGGAGGATGCTTTCTGCTCTCTCCACCATATGAGGCTGGGAAATGAGCCAATTTTTTTTTTTTCTTTCTAAATCTCAGTTGAAAGTCCTGGCTCTTTGCATGTGAATATGTGCCAAAAGGAAGTCTAATAACTTATCAAGTTGAGGCACCTCAGGGAGGTCCAGAAGCAAGACTTTTTGAGAAGGGGTTTCAGAAGCAAGTTTATTAACTCTTAACCTGACTGTAGTCTTCATTTTTTAGCTTCTATTTGTACTTGGCTAGTTAAATAATTTTTTTTCAAAGGCAATCAGCTTAAAAGTCCTGAGACCTAGGTAAATTCTATTCAACTTTTAAATTAATTGAGTCATAGACCAACTTCAATAATAATGCTATAGCTCAATTATTTTTTCCATGTAAAATAGAGATAATATGTGTTCAACATGCCTCATTAATATATCTTTAAAATGAAAATTTATGAAAGAACACAAATTCATCTCAGCAAGTTATTTATTCAGCACCATATACACTGTACCAACAGTTGCAGGGAATTGAAGAAATATTTGAGATGCAATTTGTCACTTCCAGGAAATAAAGACATGATCCACAAAGAATAGTATGTTAGATTCCATGTACGTTCACATGGTGAATACTGGTGAGTGTTTCTGATCCTTTTCTGCAGAAGCACTTATTTCCCAGGAGTGTTGACTATTGAATCTTCCCTATTTGCCATTGCCCTTGATCCTTGTCCAAGGTCCTCAGAGCCAATGACTGGTGTGCCAGCCTGCCAGGGAGCTACCCACATGGCACAGCAGACCTCTCCTGACTTGCCTGCTGTTCCCCTTAGCAATGTCTTTGGTCCATCTGCCTGTTCTGCTCCCCACTCTGTCTCTGGTGAATCCTCTCACCCCCCCACACCTCTGGCCTGTACCCCAGTTCTTGTAAAAGCCCTGACCCTCTTAATAATTTGGGAAGATTCTGAAGAGTCATCAAAATTCCACAGTTCCCCAAAATATTGGCTGTAACTTTTGTTGAGATGGTATTGTAGTCCAATTTCTTTGCCCAGTCCTGTTTCCTTTACTTCTTAGACCTGTTGATCCCTAGAGAACTCCTCCATAAAATTCCTTCACATAAGATTCACTTTACTTTGGCAACAGATATGCTAAAATTGCAATGATACAGAGGTTAACATGGTCATTGTGCAAGGATAATATGCAAATTCAAGAAGTCTTCCACATTTTTTAACTGATGAAAATCTAAATTATGAAAGAATTCATTTATGCAAATCTCAGTATTTGCTTCTTGGGAACCTGACCTATGGTAATTAATCAGGGGAAAACATATTATGGGCAGAGACTGCCCAGTCTCTCATCCAAAACCTCAGAGAGGAGACATAATAGGGGTGCTTCAAAGAGGAAACAGCATCACCCCAACTCTTCCATGCTGAAGTCTCAATCCTTCTAGACTCCTCTCCCCTTAGCCCCGCTGACTCAGTAACTACAAAACTGACCCCAGTACATACAAAAGAGAAAAATAAAATCAAACAAATCCACAGTATCAGCAGTAGAAAATGTAAAGTAGTTTAACCCATTCAGTTATCACTAAAGATATTAAAAATAATAATAAAATAAGGGAGACCTCAAGAATCAAAATTGGAAAACAAACAAAAAAAACCAACACATGAAAATATGAGCCCTCAAGAAAACATATTGTCATAAAGTAAGAGCAACAACTCTCCAGACTCCAAACAAAAAAAGATGGGAGATTACATCTCCCTATCAAATAGAGAGTTCAGAAGCACTATAATAAATAAACTGAATGAGATAGAAGAAACTGAGTAAAGGAAGTCAAAGTAAACCAAGAAAATGCTGAAAGGCAAGCCTAGGAAATAGAAGAGAAATCGGAATAATAAATCAAAGGAACACAAGAGAATTCAGAAAAACCTCAAATTCGTCATAAAATAAAAAAATTGCTATGTTTTTTCTTTCAGTTATTACCACCTATACTTTCCATACTGGGTACTGGATATGTTTTCTTCAAAATTAAGTTAAAATAAAACCATAAATTAGTTGATCCCAACTAAACAACATAGATAAATCAGTGAACTCACTTCCCATATACAGATGGGGGACTTAAAAGGGGGTAACAAGTGTCATTGACTTTAGTTCCTCCAGAGCTGGAATCTGCTTCAGAATCATCTAGTTACTAGCACATTATTCCCTGAGACTCTATGGGTGCTGGATCTGTCAAATTTTTTTCTATTGGAAAGATATTATCTACTCCAACTTGTCACATAACATTTGCTTCTTTCACTATTTGGTTTTGAGCTGGAGCCAAGGTCCCATAAAGCTTATTTTGTAGACATCCATGTCTTTTCTGGAAAATACAGCTGTGGTCAGGCACTGGCTCAGACCTAACCTACAAACAGATTCCCTTTCCTCTGGTACACTTCCAACTTCTTTATCTAGGTGTCAAAAAAAGCTTCACGGGCATCCAATATGTCAACACGTCAGCGCAGCCTGGATTTTAGACTGCAGAGAGGAGCTAAACTTGCTGCAGCAGAACCAGGTCACATTCCCTTTTATAGTTCCCCACCTTAGTCCCTCCCAACTCATCCAGTACAAACTTGTACAATGTTCATTGCAGGTAGAAAAGGGAAATATGAAGGCTGTTCATCTTCCCAGTCTCCTCACACCCTGTTTTCTCTGGGAGATGAGAAACAGGGGAGTGTGATGGCATGGCTTCTCTGACCTACTCCAGGCAAGGTTTTCGACTATGTTCAATTGGGGGTTGTGTGTTCATATCAGTCCTTGAATTTCTGTTATAGGACGTTTCTCATAGATGTCACATATCTGCTACTCAGTGGGGAAGTTGTCTGGGGCAGGTGCCACTTGTGAGTCTCCTAGAACACATCAGGGAAACATGCCTACTCAGGGTGCCCAGATTTGGGTTGCTTTTCTTTTCTTTTTTTTAAAAAGATTTATTTATTTATTTATACAAGCACTGGGTATAGTCAGAAGCGCGGGGGGGGGGGGTGTTGAGAGAATTCACCAGTCAGAGCAGAGAGGGGAACAGAACAGGCAGACTGATGAAATACAGTGCTGAGGGGAGCAGCAGGCACAGCAGGAGAGGTCTGCACGCCATGTGGGACCCTCACCGGCTGCCAGGGATCGAACCAGTGCTGCAGAGGCTGCTAGCAGCTACACAGCCCAGCGCTCAACCACTGCACAACCAGGGGAGGCCCTGGGTTGATTTTCTTAACATACTCAGCTACTCCTGTGGAAATAGCTATGACACGATTGGAAGTCACAGAATCCAGAATCAGAAGGCTCAGGCTCTTGTGTGACTCTCTCTGTAAGAGTCAATGACCTCGGCAAGGCAGTTGCCCACCCTGAGCCTTGGTTCACTCATCTGAAAAATGGCAGCTGTGGCAAGCGGTGGAGAGGTGAATGAGATTACACAGGAATACTGGGGATTTAAAAAAGAGAGTAGCATCTCACAATACTCACATTCACAGTGAGAAGGAAACGAACTGTCACTGACACACATAAACTCAAAGACTATGGTCCCCTCTTCTGAGACCTTTACTAGAGCACAAATTTTCAGGTAACCAAAATGACAAGGGAAACACTGAGGTAAGAACTAGTGAGGAAAGTTAATATAGTCACTGTAAAGTCAATTTTAAATAGAGTTAAAAGAGAGAGGGCATAGTAATTTCAGACCAAGTAAATAAAGCACACCACCACCAAAAATGTGTCACACCTGATTTTTACCTAAGTTCCATCAGTAATGTTCTAAGCTTTTAAAATGCTTATTAAAGTTTTTCCTTTTATTTTGTGACATCTTTAATATCTTCCAGCTCATTGAGAAATTAAAATGCAAAATTTGCCCTATTTTATGCCTTTATATTATACGAGCAAGAGTCACATGACTTTCAGGCACGTGGTTTATCTGGTGAAATAACTATGTTTTAGTCAGTGACCAGGTTCCCAAACCAACGTCTTTGCCGCCTTTTTGAGGTAAGTTTTTGTAAAAGGCTAGTGCTGATGTCATGAGGATTCCTATCTATATAGAAGAAAAAGAAACTATCAGCGAGTTCCTGAATTCCACTATCTTCCAGATACTATACTGAGGACTACTTACTCCCTTAGTAAAGTACTTGATTCCAGTTTCAGAGCTAATTCAGCCCTTAGTGGAGAAAAGCAAGGAAGATATGCATCTCTCTAATTTATCTAACTTGCTATTGTTGCTACTTATTACACTATCATCATCTATCTCTGTGGACTGATTTTGTTACCAAACCTCTTTACTTTTTCTTAGGGTATCATTGGAAGAGAAGAGAATTATAAGGAGGAAAAGTCAAAGAGAGTTTTCAATATAGGTATATTTAATCTCCGGCATGTCATCTTCCATCTGGATTTATTGCTAGGTTCTAGTCATCTTCCCCATGACAGAAATTAGTTCCCTAGAACAACAGAGCTTTTCCTGAGCATTTAAACGTTTCTGGCCTTCTCTTTTTCCTGCCTGTGGCCTATAAATAACTTGGCATTGTAGAGAGAGTTTCCATCCAGGACAGTGAAAGCACAAATGACTTCCTCATTCAGGAGAGTGAGTCCAGTCTAGTCAAAGCGACGTGGCCTCCATAGCATGGATATTTCTGGACATAAACAGTGACCTCATATAATCCCATCTGCCACGCAACATCCTCCTGGAAGTTGTGCCTGGTTCCCAGAAAAAACAGGCAACTGGGAACCAGAGAGAAAAAGCCAGCACAGTTATTATAGTAACCAAGTTAGCCTCTTGCATGTCTATCGTGCGCTTTTCAGTATTTAAATACTCTTATTTCTGTGATCAGCATGAATGCTACCACATGGTTTATTAGGTCATGTGTCCCCATTTTACACGAAAGATGAATAACGCGAAGTTCTTGGATCTTGTGTCACGTCATAGAGAATTTGCACAGCCTCTGTCACTGGATTGTGGACATTCTCCGAAACCACATCCTGATTCCCAGACCAACTTATCCCCTTAGATAAGCAGCAGACTTTAGCTTTTTTCAGGGTCTTGTCACCCTAGACCTCCAGGACATGGCAACTAGCTTACGTATTGTAGGCATTTCCCTATCTAACGGATCTATTTTTATCTTTTTGGGGAAGGATGGAAGGTATCCTCATTCTTTCAGAAAGTTTAAATAAATACACAGATGTCTCATAATCTAGTAGAGTAGCCAAATGTTTTGGATGGAGTGATATGTGGTGCATAGGAGACAGCTGTTGAACAGGAGGCTTCTGCTCCACTCCAGATAGCCTCGACTATTGCTTTTTTATGTCACCTGCCTCCCATATCACACAGATGCCACTGCCAGGCATCTAGCAGGGTGGGGTCCAATTCAAATCCTCAAAGGAATCGAATGATCAGTCCTAATGATAAAGGACTGATCACAAAAATCTACAAAGAGCTGATAAGACTTAGCAAAAACAAAGTAAATAATCCAGTCAAAGAATGGGCAGAGGAGCTAAAAAGAAACTTTTCCAAAGAGGAAATGCCTCTACTATGTGAGGACATATGTTCATGTCATGTGTCAGTGGACTTGGGAGTGGAAGGCACTATCCCCACAGAGGACATAGGATCTGCCTTACTGAGTCATCAGAGGATGGGAACTGGTGGACAGAAGGAACAGGACTTCCTTGGGGTAAACCGCAATAGGTAGCAGGATGGGAAGTAGGAAGCCAATAAATTGCTCCTCTTTCTCTCTTCTCTGAGCTACTCTGAGATGCAGTTGGCTCTGCAGACCCTCCACACCAAGTGCTGTGTGCTAGAGAACAATCCTAACCACATCCAATGGTTTCTCTTTGAGTCTTAGAGTAAATGGCCCAGAGAAATTTAATAAATTCTCTTCTTTTCTAGCTTCACTCCTATTTTTATGCATAACAATTGAGCATATACCCTGTCCCCAAATGTAGTTTCAGTGTCTTCATCCTTGCCCTTTGCTTTAAAGGAATCTAGACTAAGAGCATATCTCAGTTACTCCTATTCCAAGGTAGCTAGTGCAATAATGAGCACATTATACTGTTCAATAAATTCAAAAATACTAGGTTAAATTGAATCTCTGAGGAAAAACCAGTCAATTATTAATGGGAGGGGTGTTAGCATTTGTAATCTATTTCTTAATGTGAGATGAAAGATTAGCATTACTAGGAGAGAAAATATCTGGCGAGAGCTTGATAGCTCCAGGGAGGCCT